TAATAGGCTGACACATTACCTTTAGCTGTACATTTCCATCTACTCCTCTCTATCCTTAATTCCTTCCTCAAGTGCGCAGAGAGAGGGGCTGTCAACAGTTTATTTAAATATGTTTCGTTGTGAAAACATGTTACTATCAATGTTCCTGAACAGATTTCACTTGGTTTCCCAAATGAAGCACTGGGTAGCTGCAGGAACATGGTAGGAGAGCCCATGGCATACAGAGTTTGGGCGGAATATCACCTGTCGCACAGTGAGAGGCTGCATGCTCTTCAAACAGTGGTTGATACGTTAAGTGAAATAAGTGTTCTTATACAGTAAGCCCATACATTTCTATATGCAATCTCATGTGAAAGCATAGTTTTGATGGTTGCCACTAAAAGGAGGAGGATCCCAGCTGCTACTATACAGTTGAAGTCGGAAGTTTACATACACTTAGGTTGGAGTCATTAAAACTTGTTTTTCAACCACTCAACACATTTCTTGTTAACAATCTATAGTTTTGGCAAGTTGGTTAGGACATCTACTTTGTGCATGACACAAGATTATTTCACTTATAATTCACTGTATCACAATTCCAGTGGGTCAGAAGTTTACATACACTAAGTTGACTGTGCCTTTAAACAGCTTGGAAAATTCCAGAAAATGATGTCATGGCTTTAGAAGCTTCTGATAGGCTAATTGACATCATTTGAGGCAATTGGAGGTGTACCTGTGGATGTAGTTTAAGGCTTACCTTCAAACTCAGTGCCTCTTTGCTTCACATCATTGGAAAATCAAAAGAAATCAGCCAAGACCTCAGAAAAGAAATTGTAGACATCCACAAGTCTGGATCATCCTTAGGAGCAATTTCCAAACGCCTGAAGGTACCACGTTCATCTGTACAAACAATAGTACCCAAGTATAAACACCATGGGACCACGCAGCCGTCATTCCGCTCAGGAAGGAGACGCATTCTGTCTCCTAGAGATTAATGTACTTTGGTGCGAAAAGTGCAAATCAATCCCAGAACAACAGCAAATGACCTTGTGAAGATGCTGGAGGAAACAGGTACAAAAGTTTCTATATCTACAGTAAAACGAGTCCTATATCGACATAACTTGAAAGGCCGCTCAGCAAGGAAGAAGCCACTGCTCCAAAACCACCATAAAAAAGCCAGACTACGGTTTGCAACTGCACATGGGGACAAAGATCGTACTTTTTGGAGAAATGTCCTCTGGTCTGATGGTGGTCCTCTGTAGCTCAGCTGGTAGAGCACGGCGCTTGTAACGCCAAGGTAGTGGGTTCGATCCCCGGGACCACCCATACACAAAAATGTATGCACGCATGACTGTAAGACGCTTTGGATAAAAGCGTCTGCAAAATGGCATATTATTTATTATTATGAAACAAAAATTAAACGGTTTGGCCATAATGACCATCGTTATGTTTGGAGGAAAAAGGAGGACGCTTGCAAGCCGAAGAACACCATCCCAACCGTTTTTTATTTTTTATTTTATTTCACCTTTATTTAACCAGGTAAACCAGTTGAGAACAAGTTCTCATTTACAACTGCGACCTGGCCAAGATAAAGCAAAGCAGTGCGATAAAAACAACCGTGAAGCACGGGGGTGGCAGCATCATAATATAATAATAATAATATGCCATTTAGCAGACGCTTTTATCCAAAGCGACTTACAGTCATGCATGCATACATTTTTTTGTGTATGGGTGGTCCCGGGGATCGAACCCACTACCTTGGCGTTACAAGCGCCGTGCTCTACCAGCTGAGCTACAGAGGACCACGTGCTGTGGGGGTGCTTTGCTGCAGGAGGGACTGGTGCACTTCACAAAATAGATGGCATCATGAGGAAGGAAAATGATGTGGATATATTGAAGCAACATCTCAAGACATCAGTCAGGAAGTTAAAGCTTGGTTGCAAATGGGTCTTCCAAATGGACAATGACCCCAAGCATACTTCCAAAGTTGTGGCAAAATGGCTTAAGGACAACAAAGTCAAGGTATTGGAGTGGCCATCACAAAGCCCTGACCTCAATCCTATAGAAAATGTGTGGGCAGAACTGAAAAAGCGTGTGCGAGCAAGGAGGCCTATAAACCTGACTCAGTTACACCAGGAGGAATGGGCCAAAATTCACCCAACTTATTGTGGGAAGCTTGTGGAAGGCTACCCAAAACGTTTGATCCAAGTTAAACAATTTAAAGGCAATGCTACCAAATACTAATTGATTGTATGTACACTTCTGACCCATTGGGAATGTGATGAAAAAACTAAAAGCTGAAATGAATCACTCTCTCTACTATTATTCTGACATTTCACATTCTTAAAATAAAGTGGTGATCCTAACTGACCTAAGACAGGGAATTTTAAATGTCAGGAATTGTGAAAAACTGAGTTCAAATGTATTTGGCTAAGGTGTATGTAAACTTCCGACTTCAACTGTATTTATTTCTCAGCTGCTAATATTAAGCAATGCTCTGCTATAAAACCAGAGAAGCCTACCCGGCATGTTTGAAAAACCAACTGTGGGAAAGCGGCCTCAATTCGCAATTGAATGACATGTCTTTTTTCTGTTCCTGCCCAATTGATAATGGGCCATTCTATATCTAAACAAATTGAACATATTAGTAAAAACTAAATTAAATTGAGAATAGTCTGCTAGATAAAAATATGATCACTTGATGAGAGAACAGCAGGTGCAGCCTGAGGCAAGGAACAGAGTGCAAGCTTTTTTTGTGACTTTTTCAAATAGTCAATAGCCTATAGTCGCATCATGCAGCCCATATATGTTTTGATTTCTAAGACATTTTAAGGTTTGTATCATTCACAACAACATTTTCCAAATAACTCTAAATCTAGTATATAGGACCTGTTTCAAATTATCACTTTTTCGCTCAACATAGCCACTTCATATGTGCACTCACTACGGAATGGGAAAAATAGGCTATCCTTTCTATTTTATTCAGCTAAGTTCAATTATATTCTTCTTACTATAAAATCATACAATATAAAGTAATGGCACGGGACTTATAAGCATATCTTGTCTACTAAATGAACTAGCCTACAGCCTATGGCATGGCGCATAGCCAGATAACATACAGTAGGCCGACTCATATTTGGTTCTTCTGAAATACATTTTCTTCATATCATAATGTTACTTTAGACCTGCTTCAAAAAAATATATATATTGTGATGGTGTACACTGACTGTACAAAAGATTAGGAACACCTGCTCTTTCCATTACATAGACTGACCAGGTGATTCCAGGTGAAGGATCTGATTCCTTATTGATGACACCTGTTAAATCCACTTCAATCAGTGTAGATGAAGGGGAGGAGACAGGTTAAAGAAGGATTTTTAAGCCTTGAGAAAATTGAGACATGTATGCCATTCAGAAGGTGAATGGGCAAGACAAAATATGTCAGTGCCTTTGAGCGGGGTATGGTAGGCACACTGGTTTGAGTGTGTCAAAAACTGCAAAGCTGCTGGATTTTTCACGCTCAACAGTTTCCCATGTGTATCAAGAATGGTCCAACACCCAAAGGACATCCAGCCAATTTGACACAACTGTCGGAAGCATTGGAGTCAACATGGGCCAGCATCCCTGTGGAACGCTTTCGACACCTTGTAGAGTCTATGCCCCGACGAATTGAGGCTGTTTTGAGGGCAAAAGGGGGTGCAACTCAATATTAGGAAGGTGTTCTTAATGTTTTGTACACTATATTAAATTGATTTATTTGACTTTTTTAAATGTAGGGGCCTAGACGTTCCAAAGGCTTGCATCAGCGGCTTGTATGTGTGGAGGCCTGGAGATGCTAAACATGTTTATGTTAATTAACAGTTAATTACCGGCAGTCATTCGCATGACAATAACCGGCTGACAAAATGTTATGACCGCCACAGTCCTACCAAAGACAACCCCCTTCCCTTCTTCTTCTCTGGTCAGATGAGACTTTGGCGAATCCTGGCCAAAGGATCGCGTCACCTTGTCTGCGGGCTAATGAGATTAAGGCGTGTTGACGAGATGCTGACCTTTTCTGAAAGGTGTCCATATTAAATGGAACAATTATTGCCGTTCAGAGATACGGCGGCGCGGGGGGACGACAGGCCTTTCAATCAAGCCCGTTGTGAATGTCTCCTGAGTGGCGCAGTGGTCTAAGGCACTGCATCGCAGTGCTAACTGTGCTACTAGAGATCCTGGTTCGAATCCAGGCTCTGTCGCAGCCGGCCGCGACCGGGAGACTCATGGGCGGCGCACAATTGGCCCAGCGTCGTCCAGGGTAGGGGAGGGAATGGCCGGCAGGGATGTAGCTCAGTTGATAGAGCATGGCGTTTGCAACGCCAGGGTTGTGGGTTTGATTCCCACGGGGGGCCAGTATAAAAAAATAGAAATAAAAAAATAAAAAATAAATTTCACTTACTGTAAGTCGCTCTGGATAAGAGCGTCTGCTAAATGACTAAAATGTAATGTGACTGGATAAATGTTTAATTTTCAATTTTTCCTGAATGCCAGGTGCCATGTAAGGACTGGCTTTCCTGAATGGCAGGGTGGCAGTGCTGTGACACTTTTGTAATGACCGGATTAAAGGGTTCCGGGAAAATAACATTACATGGCGAGACTTGGGGCTTAAATAAACTCCCTGACACATTACACAATGAGTGACACAATGAGTTTAGAGGGCATCCAGCCTCTCTCTCAGGCACATGAGCTTACACTGTTGGGGTAGCATACGCTAACAAGCATGTAGATTAATGTAATAATGTCCATGTTTTCACATACACTATACCAGGGGTAAACAACTCAGTCCCAACCTGGACACCTAGTGATGTTTTCACTGTGACCATAAAGCATAATCAAAAGTCCAAAGTCTTTAATATACTAACCCTTTTTTCTGAATGACAGATGGCATCTTAGTTCATCAAAAACATGAATCCTTCTCCGATAACACCTCCAATCTAACCTAAATATGCAAACAGATAAGAAACAAGCCTCCTGTTTACCTCGTATTCCTGTGAAAACTTCAGGTTGTCGTTGGCTTTCAAGCGCTCCAAATGATCGGCCAGGTCCAGGATGGAGATCGGTGGGTGGCTGGCCATGCCTGTCAATCAAACGGAAGAGGTCAGTCGCCAGGGGTGAGGGGTCGCTACCACGGTTACAATCAGTGAATCATTAGAAAAGCAGCATGTGTGTAACAGGGGGATGGAGAAGTGGATCGTTGTTAGGCAATTTTTTCACTCAAAGCAGTGGCATGCTCATAGGAAGATATGGACAGGAAAGGAAGCCAATGAGAAGTCATCGAACAGACTTCACTTCCTGTAACACTTCCTACTGTGAGAGAAGAATGTTATTCACACCGAAGCGGCCGACGGGAGTTAGCATGACGGAAGACATTCACACAAACAAACAAACAAACCACAAACAAACAAATCACCAAGTTAGGCCAAGATGTTGTTTTCTGCTTTGAGTGATGACATGTTACTAGGATGTGTCATTTTTTTGCTCTGCCTCCTGCGATGGATGGCATGGTAATAAGTAACGTATGGATTAGATGGGGGTGAGATTGACTGCAAGTGTCTATGTAGAAAGGAGGAGGAGGGGGAGAGGGGGATGAAGAGAAAAACTAACGGAACAAAACAAAAGAGAGAAAGAAAGAATGTGGTGAATGCATAAACAAGACCAACTAACTTGACGAATGGAAGTTACTGGGGTAACCGGGGTCACCTGAACCTGCGGAGGAAACGACGGTATAAATAAAATGTCGCAGACGATCGTAGCAATGTGATGATTCCTTTGTTTAAGGGGTAGAAACCGTTGGGGAAGGTGACTGACGGAAACTAGAGTTATACACTGTATCATCTAAATGTCACATAGATCTGTTAGTAACGCACACATTGACATGCTAGAAGCTAGCCTATGCCACCATGCGTAAATCGGTGGGAAAGACATGAAAACACTCAACAAAACAGACCCGGAGAAACAAGAACTGAGTCAAGCGATCGCACAATCCTATCATAATGAGATCCATTCTGACCATCAGACATCCTACAAAGTCTGCAGGCAGGAAGTTTCACCTTGCATAAACATTTTTTGTTGGACTTTACTTTGACAAGGTAGAACTGACATTGTTGAATGTAAATAGTGTTAGCACACAGGCTACCAATGTATTCTGTTTAAGTTGTTTGTGGCGAAGGTATGTGAAGAGAACAGAGAAGAGAGCAGAGAAGGGGGTTGTGTGGGGTTGACCGAAGTCACTATGTACACGACCCGTCAAAGGTTTGGACACACCTACTCATTCAAGGGTTTTTCTTTATTTTTACTATTTTCTACATTGTAGAATAATAGTGAAGACATCAAAACTATGAAATAACACATATGGAATCATGTAGTAACCTAAAAAGTGTTAAACAAATAAAAATATATTTTATATTTGAGATTCTTCAAATAGCCACCCTTTGCCTAGATGACAGCTTTGCACACTCTTGGCATTCTCTCAACCAGCTTCATGGGGTAGTCACCTGGAATGCATTTCAATTAACAGGTGTGCCTTGTTAAAAGTTAATTTGTGGAATTTATTTCCGTCTTAATGCGTTTGAGCCAATCAGTTGTGTTGTGACAAGGTAGGGGGGTATACAGAAGATAGCCCTATTTGGTAAAAGACCAAGTCCGTATTATGGCCAGAACAGCTCAAATAAGCAAAGAGAAATGACAGTCCATCACTACTTTAAGACATGAATGTCAGTCAATCTGGAAAATGTCAAGAACTTTGAAAGTTTCTTCAAGTGCAGTCGCAAAAACCATCAAGCGCTGTGATGAAACTGGCTCTCATGAGGACCGCCACACGAATGGAAGACCCAGAGTTACCTCTGCTGCAGAGGATAAGTTCAATAGAGTTACCAGCCTCAGAAATTGCAGCCCAAATAAATGCTTCACAGAGTTCAAGTAACAGACACATCTCAACATCAACTGTTCAGAGGGGACTGTGTGAATCAGGCCTTCATGGTCGAATTACTACAAAGAAACCACTACTAAAGGACACCAATAAGAAGAAACCTGCCTGGGCCAAGAAACACGAGCAATGGACATTAGACCGGTGGAAATTTGTCCTATGGTCTGGAGTCCAAATTGGAGATTTTTGGTTCAAACCGCTGTGTCTTTGTGAGACGAGGTGTAGGTGAACGGATGATCTCTGCATGTGTATCTCCCACCGTAAATCATGGAGGAGGAGATGTTATGGTGTGGGGGTGCTTTGCTGGTGACACTGTCTGTTATTTATTTAGAATTCAAGGCACACTTAACCAGCATGGCTACCACAGCATTCTGCAGCGATACGCCATCCCATCTGATTTGGGCTTAGTGGGACTATCATTTGTTTTTCTACAGGACAATGACCAAACACATCTCCAGGCTGTGTAAGGTCTATTTTACCAAGAAGGAGAGTGATGGAGTGCTGCATCAGAGGACCTGGCCTCCACAATCCCCCGACCTCAACCCAATTGAGATGGTTTGAGATGAGTCGGACGGTAGAGTGCAGAAAAAGCAGCCAACAAGTGCTCATCATATGTGGGAACTCCTTCAAGACTGTTGGAAAAGCATTCCAGGTGAAGCTGGTTGAGAAAATGCCAAGAGTGTGCAAAGCTGTCATCAAGGCAAAGGGTGGCTATTTGAAGAATCACAAATATAAAATATTTTTTGATTTGTTTAAAAAGAAATTGGTTACTACATGATTCCATGTGTGTTATTTCATAGTTTTGATATCTTCACTATTATTCTACAATGTAGAAAATAGTAAAAATAAAGAAAAACCCTTGAATGAGTAGGTGTGTCCAAACTTTTGACTGGTACTGTATGTCTAGGCTTAAACACAGCTGCCGAAATGTTGACTCAGGACACTTTTTGGCCACCGGGTGGGAGGGTTCGTGAAGGCGGCTCCGCACAAAGTGCTGTCATCCTGTCCCAGATAGAGGTTTCATAATAGCCGGGACACGGTGCCGTTTTTCCCACTCTCCCGCCTGAGACAGTGTCTGCGAGGGCACGTCAGTGGTCTTTTCATCTACACTGATAACACAAGTGGGCATTAGCTAATGGAAAAAGCGGAAAAGCGGAGCCTCTTTTCTCCCGCGCTCACTCGCTCTATTTCTCCAAGAGGTTGTTTCTATCAGCCTCTACCACTCAAGGCCCATTTTCAGCCGCCGGTTGACAATGGAACTGCCAATCGCCACGTGGCGCCATGCACACATCAAGCGTCCTCAAGATGGAAAAGCGCATTGAGGAGTAGCGAGGTGAGAGAGGGATGAAAAGAGGGAGGGAGCGAGGGAGGGAGGGCGGGAGGGAGGGAAGAGAAGTGTGGTCTAATGTAGCACCAATCAGCACTGGAGAGGAAGCTGTAAAAGAGGGAGACAAAGATGTTTGGACCGCTCGAGCAAGTCGAGAGTCACTTCGAGAGGCTCTTTGGAAAATGAGAATGGTGTGCGAGACTAATCAAGATGGTTGTAGAGGATTCCGGAATAGGGAAAAGTGTGGTGGTTTAGATCACTCTGAAGTCCCCTTCTCAAAGTGAAAACTGAGAGGGGAAAAAACACCCCCTCTTGCCAAGTTTGACATTTCCAGTAATGGATATAACGTAATTGAGAGTAGGGGTTTCATAAATATGCATAATCTTTAAAAAATCTGCCTGCGGCTGGGATAATTTATTCCCTTTTCATACGAGCTGACCTGAAAAATGTGGCTTTGATATTACATTATTGGCAGTCCCTGAACACCTGTCCCACTGCTCTCGCTGCCAGAAGAACTCCAGTACCAAGTTGAGCGTGTCTCTTCACTCCAAAAATTTGAAAATGCATTGGCTCTCCAAGGGACAAAAGAACTGTGGCGGCCATCTTTTTCCCCTCTGCGACAAAAAGGGGTCACATGAACAGGCATGACCGCTGTTCACCTCGCCGGGGAAGGTCAAAAGGGAGGGGACGTTTGTGTTCACAGCTTGTCACTGGCCCACTCTTCTCTCCACTGTCCACTGCCTCATGTACAGGATGTAACATGGCACAGTGACAGTGTCATAGTTTCAGCTACCTGTGACTTCCAACATGCTACACTGTCACTCTGAGGAGACTAGTGTTAGCTTGGCAAAGGCTGCACCGACCTACAGATGTAGGTTCTTAATTTGATCAGTCTTTTGTTGCTGAGAATTTTCCTTCACAGCAGGAAATGCAAATTTGTAGTGTATTCGATGTTTAAAAAGATTTCCACTTTAAAATGTCAGTCTTGATTTGCCCTAATGATGTATCAACCCTTACAAAAAATATCCATTCATTATAATCCACATAATAATTCACATTTTCTGTTGCTGCAGGTTTCTTTTCATGCTATAGCAAACTGGCTCAAATTAAGATCCTACATCTGTAGGTGACCCGTGAAGACAAGGACGATGTTAACTACCATGAAAGTGTTAGCCTTGCACTGCTGTCTCCAGCACCTCTATCTCCGGGGAGGAGTCAGTCAGTTTTGACCCTGTGTATCTTTTCCCCGCCACCTGTCCATTTTCCCTCAAGTCCAGCCACACTTTGAACAATGACCCCCCAGAATGTTCTAGTCACGGGAACTCTGTGAGAAGTGTTGGTTTAGCATTTAGGTGGTGTCTTTTAAAGAGGTCACGCATAAGACATTCACACACTTCCCCAATGATAACAAACCTGATTTGATATATTACATTAATTCTGCTGCTTCACCTACTAAGTCAGGTGAAGATAAAGTAACTACAGTGGGGAGAACAAGTATTTGATACACTGCCGATTTTGCAGGTTTTCCTACTTACAAAGCATGTAAAGGTCTGTAATTTTTATCATAGGTACACTTCAACTGTGAGAGACGGAATCTAAAACACAAATCCAGAAAATCACATTGTATGATTTTTACACGGCAGGACCTGGTCAATGACCTGAAGAGAGCTGGGACCACAGTCTCAAAGAAAACCATTAGTAACACACTACGCCGTCATGGATTAAAGTCCTGCAGCGCACGCAAGGTCCCCCTGCTCAAGCCAGCGCATGTCCAGGCTCGTCTGAAGTTTGCCAATGACCATCTGGATGATCCAGAGGAGGAATGGGAGAAGGTAATGTGGTCTGATGAGACAAAAATAGAGCTTTTTGGTCTAAACTCCACTCGCCGTGTTTGGAGGAAGAAGAAGGATGAGTACAACCCCAAGAACACCATCCCAACCGTGAAGCATGGAGGTGGAAACATCATTCTTTGGGGATGCTTTTCTGTAAAGGGGACAGGACGACTGCAGCGTATTGATGGGAGGATGGATGGGGCCATGTATTTCGAGATCTTGGCCAACAACCTCCTTCCCTCAGTAAGAGCATTGAAGATGGGTCGTGGCTGGGTCTTCCAGCATGACAAGGACCCGAAACACACAGCCAAGTCAACTAAGAAGTGGCTCCGTAAGAAGCATCTCAAGGTCCTGGAGTGGCCTAGCCAGTCTCCAGACCTGAACCCAATAGAAAATATTTGGAGGGAGCTGAAAGTCCGTATTGCCCAGCGACAGCCCCGAAACCTGAAGGATCTGGAGAAGGTCTGTGTGGAGGAGTGGGCCAAAATCCCTGCTGCAGTGTGTGCAAACCTGGTCAAGACCTACAGGAAACGTATGATCTCTGTAATTGCAAACAAAGGTTTCTGTACCAAATATTCAGTTCTGCTTTTCTGATGTATCAAATACTTATGTCATGCAATAAAATGCAAATTAATTACTTAAAAATCATACAATGTGATTTTCTGTATTTTTGTTTTAGATTCCGTCTCTCACCTGCTTTGTAAGTAGGAAAACCTGCAAAATCGGCAGTGTATCAAATACTTGTTCTCCCCACTGTACATCTTATTTTGACTAAGACGTCCGTAGTTTCTTAAGTCATTGAGTGATTACGGATCTAGGAAGCTTTGCAGTGGTTTGTGTGATTTATGTTTGCTTTCACAACAACAACAAAATCCCTTACCAGGCGTTTGGAAGTTCATGCGTCGAAGCTCCACAGGGTCGGTGGGGTTATGAGATGGAATCTCCTTGCTGTTGGGCAGACTTCCTTTTCTAGCTTCGGATTCTGCCCTTTTCCTGTGGGGAAAAAACATTTAAAACTTTTTTATTTTTTATTATGTTTTGTGTTCTATCGTTTTTTGGTGCATTTTCATCCCTGTTGAAGATATTTCCCAAAATTAAATGACACTATAATAAAATGTATACATTTTCAATATACAATATGTCTTAATGATGAATTACATCTGATGTGTTCCAGCATAGTTTGTGTCCTCCTTTAATCTGACAGATTGTGTTATGTTTTGTATACATGGGGATGAATGCTACTCTTAGTGGGACATATATCTCAATGTTCATAAACGTTTATAAGATTAACATTTCAAGAAGCATAAAGTTTAAAGCCTGGTGATGAACTTTAGTGCATCTTTAATTCATTCCGATAATGGGAATGCAGTCTAATAAATTCCATATCATGCTTATGAGAGAATAGAGAGGTGCCATAAATACACACAATCCCTGAGATTAACCTACAGGGCATTGGGAGATTTCATCAATGAAATATAATCCTTCTACATAGGGGATATAATACTTTTGACCACTTATTTATAAAACAGTGCAGTCTCTGACAAAGAGCTTTGACACAGATCTGCCCAAAGACTCAATACGGTGACATTTGATCTGTCTAATGAGAAGTGTACAGAGTAAAAGGGGGACTGTCACTATACTAGAAGTGACCTTTCAAAACAGTTTATCATCATTTGACCTCTGACCTCCAACCTCTCTTCATTAGGGTTAAGTAAAATCACTGACCTGTGACCTTTGCATTATATGGGAAGCAATAAGGCTTGTGTAAATAGCCTGGGGGGGGGGTCAATGGTGTAATGGTCAAGGACAACAACAAAGGATGAAATGGGTCGTGTGAGGTCATCGTTGCATGCGTTTGAACACACGTAGATGGGAACATACAGAATGAGTCATACAATTTGCTACATTTGGTGGAGAATGCAGGCATGAAAAAAAAGGCTGAAAATGATAGCATGGGTACATCTGAACCGATATCTGAACACATACAATAGTCTATGTATGGCATTGTGAGAGTACGGTAAAGTGTACCTTAGCCATAACCTACAATGTAATAACCATCTAGCAATGCAAGGGCTCATCTGGTAAAAACACAGGGTTAATCAAATTGAAAGCTGAATTAAAAATGGAATGAAATGATTTGGGAGTAGTTGTGCGGGGAAAGCTGGGCAAACGCTGTTAAAGTGTTACAATACCGGTACAGTATAGTGCTTTCCCGGCCAGTGAGTATATTTGGCTGTGATGTAATGCTGTTGAAGAAATATATCTATTTGTGATATATTATTGGCATTCAATGTTCATGCCAACTAGCATTTTGAGAATTAAGGAGAAAGTGATGGGGAGCAGTCTTGGCATTGTAATGCATGTTGGTTCTGTTCTAGGCATGCAAGTCAGTTGTGTCTTGCGTACAAGCGGTGAGACATTGAATTCAATAGAAATCTAAGAAATAAGGATTTCTAGGGGTTGTGTTTATCAATAAATTGACCCTTTGTATTGAGACAGACAGGACATTTAGACATGTTTGGTCAATGGAAAATTGAAATGTTGATATGGGTTCTCGTCAAATACAAAATACTATTAATATTTGTAATGTAATGTAGGGTGAGAGTAATGGAAGAAAGGAAAGCACACTTAGAATATTTTAGAAAATGAACTGTCCTGGCTGATCAAATATATGATGTCAATTCAAATACTATCATCTGGAACGTAGGTCAGAATTCAATCAATGCAAGCAGCTGACTTTTAAACGTGCTTTGGTGGGTCAAAAGTGCAGTTGCGGGAACTCGCTTTCTGCAATGATTGAACTCTGCCTAACAAGCTAGAGGGTAGGAAATGTCTGCAAAGGAATAGAAAAAGGGTTGAGGTAGGGGTAGTTGTGGTATTGTCAGCCATATCACATCCTTTCGCTCTTACCTGTCTGGTTTGCTGCTCCATTCGAAAGCAAGGAAAATAAAGCATGACAGGATGTTAGCTGGCACGTCAACATGACCCGGCGATAACAATCGCATCTCAATGTTGGTTGGCGTGCAAGATTAGTGTCGCTTCACTACCGACCCCACGCTCAATTATGCCGCCTTGGGTATGTGTCGTTTAAAATGCTATGATTTCATCCCAGGTGCAATCCAAAGATGTATCGTTTATTTAGTCGTTTCAGGTGATTGTTTGTCACTCGAGCATGGAAGGGCTCGGTGTATCTGTTTCTATCCTAAAGAATAACTACATCAAGGCAACAACACATGACAATTGTGATACTACTGATTACTGATTATACAAAATAACGTGCTTGCATGGAGTTTTGAAGAAAATACATTCAAAAAAGACTAGATAATATAATTTGAGCTTATATGGCCTTTCCCCTTAACGTTGTAACAAAAGCCGCTTACGTTCGTTGTGATCTATAATGGGGACTGGGACACGGGGAACCTTGACTTTCAGCTCAAATTAACATAAAAATGTTTGTGACCTGTATCCGAGTGTGCATGTAGGTGTGTATCTTGCTGTGACTGATTTATACAGCTAATCAGCGATGCTGTGGGGCTATTATTTCGTCCTTTCCCCCTGACGCAACACACACAGTAACATGAATGTTGTCCTTTGCTCCTCACACTGGCCACCAATTATATTACATACAAATGTTTCTTAACAAGTTAAATATTTCCTGGTTATGTTCAGGAAAGTCCCGACACGCTGGTGACATTGACTTAGTAAACACGCTGGTGACATTGACTTGGTAAACACGCTGGTGACGTTGACTTGGTAAACACGCTGTTGACATTGACTTGGTAAACACGCTGGTGACGTTGACTTAGTAAACATGATGGTGACATTGACTTGGTAAACACACTGGTGACATTGACTTAGTAAACACACTGGTGACATTGACTTGGTAAACACACTGGTGACATTGACTTGGTAAACACACTGGTGACATTGACTTAGTAAACATGATGGTGACATTGACTTAGTAAACACACTGGTGACATTGAGTGGACAACATACCTATTGATAGACTATAAGCCCAGGCTTCACTTCTCTCAAGGCTGATTCTCCCAGTAATGCATTAATACACTCTACAATGCCATTCAATGTGGATGCTATGGAGACTGATTCACTTGGCCCAAAGCAGTATTCAATCTAGGTGTCAAATATAAGAGGGAGAAGCTAGAGAGAAATGTGTCCTCGTAACGCACCAGGTCAACAGGGGGTCACCAAGCAGGCCTGGAGCTTGGCTCTCTTGTGTGTGTGTGTGGTTCTACGCTTGACTGATGAACGGTGGCGGCGAACGGTCAGCTTCCGCTGGAGGTTCAGACATGCTCTGATTTCTTCTGTGTATGTGTGCATGTGTGTGACTGTGTGTGTGATTGAGTGTGTCTGTCTGATATGTAGACTGTTTGTGTGACAGTGTATTTGAATGTGCTTCATTTGACTTTGATGATGCAAGTGTCTCTCTCTCTCTCTCTCTCTCGCTTCACTTTCTCCAGTCCTTACCTCTTGTACAGGAGGATGGCAATGACGATGCAGATGATGAAGACCACAGCGAGCACTGGGCCCACCACCCAGATAAGTCCCTCTTCCTCGTCAATGATTGGTTGGGGGTCAAGGTCCGCTGACACAACAGGGTCGGAGTAGGGGCTGGTGGCATACATGGTCTAGGAAGGAGAGGAAGGGGAGTTGTATTAGTCATCACTGTGTTATTTTGTTGAGCCTCTCAGGCTACACTTTACATGACATAGGCATTATACTACCACTGTAACTACTAGTGGAATAACTACTTTAATAACCATGCAGTAGGCTAGTTCTACATGCAGGTAGTGTAGAGTAGAGTAGAGAAGGGGAAATTGTTTTATCACAACAATGTAGTTAGGTGTCCAGACTACGATAGGAAATATTTTTTGGCTGATTCTAATGTCACTATTCCTCTGCCTCCCATGAATTTGAAAACATATTTTGTGGTCCCAGTTCAGACTAGGTTCCTTATCATTCCTCAAAATGAAGTGATATCTTACTCCTGACTGTGTAGCTGTCTAGAAAAACAACCTGCACTCTCTCATATCTCTGTCAACCCTCACAGCTGAGCTCCAATCAATAGACCTCAACCCTTCAGTGAGGCCACCGAAAGTTCAAAATTGTCCAAGTTTCAACTTTTCCTCTACTAGTACATGTATATTCCGTCAGTCTTTCACAAAGACATCAGGACAACCTGTATGTGCCGAGTAGGCTAAGATTTGCCCATTCAAAGTTATTGTGTCAATGCAAATTTACAAATTCACCTATCCAAACGATATGGGCACGTCGTAATATCCATAACATCTCTCATTTGTGACTGAGTTAATTTACGTAGTTCTGAGTGGAACGAGATAAAGACTGGGGCTTTGGGGCCAAGAAAAAGCCAATCAGTGCTGTGGTGGGCAAATTAAAGATTTCCCCCCGTTTTGTCCGCCCGCCCGCCCTAATCATGCCCCTTTCTCCTTTGATCCACACACACTCCTTCTCGGTCTGTCTCTGTCACACACACACACACACACACACACATACACACACCCTAGCTGCAGTGGAGGAGATAAGGGCATCCGCACGGTAAGCGTGCAATTAAAGAGGAGTCCCGTTATCGAGTTATTTCTGCGATTGACTGGAGCCTCTGGGGGATTTCCCCTTTACAGTAGCAGGCTCTGTTCTTGCCCTTTTTCAGGTACCAGGGCTCAAACGGACTTGACGTAACACATCCAGCCAAGGGACGTGCCCCCTGCCAAGACGTCAAAGACCCAAATCAATTGCATTTAATATGCAACTTTAAACACAAGGGAAAAAGATTCCTGTAAAAGGAAATCGCCAGAGGGCTGACTGTAGCGCATGTCTGAACTAATTCCTTTATGGAGTGGGGTGTCTAAGAGAATAGAAGGAAACAAATGTTGAGAGAGATCGAGAGAGAGAGGTTTTTTAAGAAAAAAGCATAAAAAGGCATATACTTACATTTTCAGAGATCTCGAGGACAGCAAGCACAAAGAAGATGTACTCTTGGCCGTTGGCGAGCTGCTTGTTTTCAAAGTCACCATAGATCTTGGTGTCTCCCAGAGTGAAGTCGGTGGGAAGGTCTTTGAAGTAGGCCGCGATGTAGGCTTTGGGCTCAGCTTGCCTCCGGAAGCGAAGGCCTCGGCTTGTTCGGTTAATCTCTTTGAGCAGCTAAAAGTGAAAAGAGTTGAGACGATGTAGCTAGACAGTCGATAAAAAAGACACACAAAGAATGTTTTGCACACAAACACACACATTTTTTACATTTTAGTCATTTAGCAGACGCTCTTATCCAGAGCGACTTACAGTTAGTGAGTGCATAGATATTTTTTTTTCATACTGGTCCCCCGTGGGAATCAAACGCACAACCCTGGCGTTGCAAGTGCCATGCTCTACCAACTGAGCTACACAGACACACAGACACACACACACACACACTACCAATCTGTGTTACATCCCTTCTGATTACAAAAGCTCAAACTACTGATTGCATAGGAAGACGAAATATGACCATTTGGATTTAATTTGTTCTACGCTGTAAGGATTTTTCTAAATGAGATTCTATAATAACGTAAATACTGTCAAAAATTTCAAAAGGATTTTAAGTAAAAGAAAGAGATTTTTTAGAAAGGAGACTATGTTTTGACATTCCAGTGGCATGAAATAGAATAGGAAGAGATGCCATGCTCTGCTGTGTGTGTGTGTGTGTGTGTGTACATGCATAAATATGATTATTGTTTATTTTTGGCTACATTGACAATGCAAAGAAGACAGCGAGTGCTAAAGCAATGCATCATCTTTAGAATGAATGAGAGGCAAATGTGGTAAACTGACTGAATACTTGTCGATAGGTAGAGATGGACTTCATTCTGTTAATATTGTGTTGATATATTTCCATCAGACTCCCCAGACACCAGCAACCTTTTGAACCTATCATGACCGCATGATGGCTTGTAGTCATTGGAATGTACAATTTTAAAACAGTATAATAGCAAATGCCCTGTGGCATGCTAGACAATATAGGTGAGGCTACTCATTGAAAGTGCTGAGCGCACCAACTGTACTGTAAGTACCAAGCCCCTAAAGGTATCAATTAAACAACAATGCAATGGTGTTCTGTTGCTTGTTAGGCATGGGTAATTAAATACACACACACAAACACACACACACACACACACACGAAGAACACCCTTGGCTCCATTTCCTACAGCTTTTGTAAGTGGCCAGAAGCATTACGCAACATCTAAATCAAAAGAAAGTGGTGAGTCCCCGAGCATTAGCGCTAGGCTAGCCCCTTCTCCACTCCCCCCGTCACAAATTGCATTGTTACACTGCACTAATAGGGAGACTAGACATTATTTACCCGCTAGCAACACCAGGCAACTTGATCAGAATGTGAATCAGGTCACACTCTTACAATGGGAGTGTGATTGCTTCCGCAGAAAAACAAAGCCAAATTTGTCTCGCTCTTATGGGAAAGTGTAATGTTGTGCAGTTCTACACTCAAGTGCTATTGCTATAGGCTGCATAACTAGGTCTAAGTATACCTATGTGGTTCTGGGTGCAATAACGCTGATTCATGCCCAACTGAAATAAAAAGGTGATTCAGTGTATGTAATGGTGTGAGACATCTATTGGTTTCATGTCTGCTTGATTTATAGTGAACAAAAATATAAAAATGCAACATGCAAGAATTTCAAAGATCTTATTGAGTTACAGTTCATATAAGGAAATCAGTCAATTGAAATAAATTCATAAGGCCCTAATCTATGGATTTCACATGACTGGGAATACAGATCTGTTGGTCAAAGATACCTTTAAAAAAAGGTAGAGCCGTGGATCAGAAAACCAGTCAGTATCTGGTGTGACCACCATTTGCCTCATGCAGCGTGACACATCTCCTTCGCATAGTGTTGATCAGGTTGTTGATTGTGGCCTGTGGAATGTTGTCCCACCCCTCTTCAATGGCTGTGCGAAGTTGCTGTCAATCGAGAGTACACCTCAATCCAGAGCATCCCCGCATCCCCGCTCCTCCGCACACTCCACTGGCTTCCAGTTGAGGCTCGCATCTACTACAAGACCATGGTGCTTGCCTACGGAGCTGTGAGGGGAACGGCACCTCCTTACCTTCAGGCTCTGATCAGACCCTACACCCAAACAAGGGCACTACGTTCATCCACCTCTGGCCTGCTAGCTCTCCTACCTCTACGGAAGCACAGTTTCCGCTCAGCTCAGTCAAAGCTATTCGCTGCTCTGGCACCCCAATGGTGGAACAAGCTCCCCTACGACGCCAGGACAGCGGAGTCACTGACCACCTTCCGGGGACACTTGAAACCCTACCTCTTTAAGGAATACCTGGAATAGTATAAAGTAATCCTTCTTCCCCCACCCCCCATATTTTTTTTATTTTTTTTAAGTGGTTGTCCCACTGGCTATCATAAGTTGAATGCACCAATTTGTAAGTCGCTCTGGATAAGAGCGTCTGCTAAATGATGTAAATGTAAAAATCCCAAACATGCTCAATGGGTGACATGTCTGATGAGTATGCAGGCCATGGGACATTTTCAGCTTTTAGGAATTGTGTACAGATCCTTGCAGCCTGGGGCTGTGTATTATCATGCTAAAACATGAGGTGATGCCGGCAGATGAATGGCACGACAATGGGCCTCAGGATCTTGTCACGGAATCTCTGTGCATTCAAATTGCCATCAATAAAATGCAATTGTGTTCATTGTCGGTAGCTTATGCCTGCCCATAATATAACCCCACCGCCACCTTGGGGCACTCTGTTCACAAAGTTGAAATCAGCAAATTGCTCGCCCACACAACGCCATACACGTGATCTGCGGTTGTGAGGCCAGTTGGACGAACTTCCAAATTCTCTAAAACAACGTTGGAGGCGGCTTATGGTAGAGAAATGAACATTCAATTCTCTGGCAACAGCTCTGGTGGACATTCCTGCGGTCAGCATGCCAATTGCACGATCCCTCAAAACTTGAGACGTCTATGGAATTGGGTTGTGTGACAAAACTGCACATTTTAGAGTGGCCTTTTATTGTCCCCAGCACAAGGTGCACCTGTGTAATGATCATGCTGTTAATCAGCTTCTTGATATGCCACACCTGTCAGGTGGATGGATTATCTTGGCAAAGAAATGCTCACTAACAGGGTTGTAAACAAATCTGTGCACAAAATATGATTTTGTATGTTCGTATGGAACATTTCTGGGATCTTTTATTTCAGCTCATGAAACATGGGACCAACACTTTACATGTTGCGTTTATATTTTTGTTCAGTGTATGTGGTTTAAGACTACCCAAAAGTACACATCGCATCAACGTGAGCCAACTCCATATCTCTCCCTCTGGAGTGAGTGTGTGCCTATCAAGTTTCTGCAATGGCTTTGGCTCGGGGGGGTGGTGTCACTACCCGATAATGTCTTCAATCATCTCCCTTGTCAACACGGCTAAAACAAACCGCCCTTGGGAAAAGTTGTGAAAAGGTGAGAGCCCAATATTAACAAACAAATCAATTCTGACGGTAGGGGGCACCTTTCTGGTAATCGGTCAAGGTGTGAGACATGAAAATCGGCAGATGAGACTCAGCGAAACAACAACATGGTTCTTCTCAGAGATAAAGTGTATGCTCATATTATGTTTTTTGCTTGCTCCATTTACTGCATTAGGAATAAATAATCCCCATAAGTACCTACTCACAATGACAAGTAAAGTATTTAATGGATATTAATCTATCCTGATCTACTTACATCAAAGGTCTAGTGATGCAAAAGGTGCTAAAACCTGTTCACACTTGGGTTGGGATAAATCATGGCGCCAGAGGGAATGGCGGCCGTTTTATGGGCTCCTGACCAATTGTGCAATTTTTTTATATTCTTTGCACTGATCTTAACTTTTTCTGTACATAATGTTACCGCCATCGTTTCCTATGACCCAAAAGTGCTTCTGGACATCAGAACAGCTATCACTAACCTCGATTTGGACGAGGACTTCTACTTCAATCAGTCAGAGATGAAAGACATTGATTATTGCGGACCAGGCCCAAGTCCCTGACATTCGAAGAAGGAGGAGACAGTGGCGTGTGGGATACCTGACGAGACTCACTGGATACCTCCCTGAAGAAAAAACTGGATGAGCTCCATTTGAGACTATACTATCAATGTGATCTGAAGAGCTGTAATATCCTATGTTTCTCAGAGTTGTGGCTGAACAAGAACATGGTAAATATAAATCTAGCTGTTTTTTCGGCAGGACAGAATGGCTGCGTCGTGGAAGCTCAGAGGAGGGTGTTTGTGTGCCTCTTTGTCAACAACAACTGGTGCCCGATCTCTAATATTAAGGAAGTCTTGAGGTTCTGCTCACCTGAGTTAGAATACCTCATGATAAGCTGTAGACCAGATTATTTACCATTGATGTTTATTTACCACCACAAACCAATGCTGGCACTAAGACCGCACTTAACGAGCTGTATGGGGCCATAAGCAAACAAGAAAATGCTCACCCAGAGGCGGCGCTCCTAGTGGCCGGTGACTTTAATGCAGGAAAACAGAAATCCGTTTTACCTCATTTCTACCAGCGTGCAACTTGAGGTGAAAAAACTCTAGATCACATTTACTTTACACACAGAGACGAATACAAAGCTCTCCCTCACCCTCCGTTTGGCAAATCTGACCATACAAGCAAAAACTTAAACAGGAAGTAGCAGTGATGCGCTCAATATGGAAGTGGTCCGAGGAAGCAGATGTTAAGCTACAGGACTGTTTTGCTAGCACAGAATGGAATATGTTCCGGGATTCATCCGATGGCATTGAGGAGTTTATCACATCAGTAACCGGCTTCATTAATAAGTGCATCAACGACGTTGTCCCTACAGTGACTGTACGTACATATCCCAACCAGAAGCCATGGATTACAGGCAACATCTGCACTGAGCTAAAGGCTAGAGCTGCTTTCAAGGAGCGGGACTCTAATCCGGACACTTATAAGAAATCCTGCTACGCCCTCCGATGAACCATCAAACAGGCAAAGCGACAATACTTCACCAGCTCTGACGCTTGTCGGATGTGGCAGGGCTTGCAAACTATCACAAATTACAAAGGGAAACCCAGCCGCGAGGTGTCCAGTGGCACGAGCCTACCAAACGAGCTAAATACC